CAATTGATGTTGAGTGGTCAAAAGCTTTGGGCCACTGTCTCTCTATTAATTCCTGACTTAACAAACACAAGTTAAAAAAAAAAAAAAGAAGTCATAATACCATAGAACCAGGAGTTCTATGGTACCTTTCCAGTAGGTACCTTTTTCTATGAAAAGGTACCTACTGTCCCTAAACAGAAGCTACAAGCTTGCCCAGAAATGTACACACACTTTGTTCACCTGGGTACCTCCTTATTTAGTTGTTACTCTTCAGTCAATGACTAAATCTTTCCCAAAACGCTTGTAAGAAGTGGAATTATACCATGTAGGGTTTTATGGTATCCATCCTCCAAGAGGGCTGCTGTATTTCCTTATTGTAAGTTCACTGTCTCACACTTTGGTTACTTTCCAATCTGAAATGCTTTAGGATTAGGAAGCAAACTACATGCCTCCTCCTTCTACCCTGTGACTCCTTCTCAGAAGTAAAATTCATACCAATGAGCAATATTTGCTCCCAAGTAAAGTAAGAGTTAGAAGATATGAGTTATATTCTGGCCAAGTGTGGTGACTCACACCTGTAATCCCAGAATTTTGGGATGCTGAGGCAGGCGGATTCTCTGACCAACATGGAGAAACCCTGTCTCAATTAAAAATACAAAATTAGGCAGGCGTGGTGGCTCATGCCTATAATCCCAGCTACTCGAAAGGCTGAGGCAGGAGAATTACTTGAACCTGGAAGGAGGAGGTTGTGATGAGCTGAGATCGAGCCACTGCACTCCAGCCTGGGCAACAAGAGTGAAACTCCGTCTCAAAAAAAAAAAAGAGAAAAAAGAAAAGAAAACAAAAGACAATATGAGGTATGTTCTACAGTAGGGACTGTCCAGAAAAAAAAATTTAAATTTAGAAAGATATGAGGTATGACTTGAAGGGCAATAGGAAAGCCCTCTTCTACAAATATATTTTTGCAACTCCAGATCTATGTATGAAATTCCTTCTTGTTAATTCTACTCCTAAACTCCCTAAGATGCAAAAAACTGTTGGAAAAATTAATAGTTTAAGCGACTGTGTTATTTACATCTTAATAACAGCAATTCCAGATCCTTTCTTGAAGGTAAGTTTTGATTAAGGGAAAGACAAACAAATACCAAGGGAGGCCAGCTGTGGTGGCTCATGCCTGTAATCCCAGCACTTCAGGTCAGGAGTTAGAGGCCAGCCTGGCCAACATGGTGAAATCCCATCTCCACTAAAAACACAAAAATTAGGCAGGCATGGTGGCATGCGCCTATAATCCCAGCTACATGGGAGGCTGAGCAGGTGAATCACTTGCACCTGGAAGCCAGAGGTTGCAATAAGCTGACATAGCGTCACTGCACTCCGGCCTGGACAATAAAGCTAGACTCTGTCTCATAAAAACAAAACAAAACAAAACAAACAAAAAAACCCAACCAACCAACCAAATCCACAAAGGGATGCCCAGAAGAAAGGGACAGGATATGACCAGGGTTTAGGAAATGGCAAAGACTAGAGGGGATTAAAACATACACACACGGCCAGGCATGGTGGCTTACACCTGTAATCCCAGCACTCTGGGAGGCTGAAGTGGGTGGATCACCTGAGGTCAAGAGTTCGAGACCAGCCTGGCCAACATGGTGAAAAACTCTGTCTCTACTAATAATACAAAAATTAGCTGGGCATGGTGGCACACACCTGTTCCCAGCTACTCTGGAGGCTGAGGCAGAAGAATCGCTTGAACCTGGGAGGCGGAGGTTGCAGTGAGCTGAGATTGTGCCATTGCACTCCAGCCTGGGCGACAAGAGAAAAACTCCGTCTCAAAACAACAACAACAACAACAACAACAACAAAACACACATACACACACACCCCCCATATACAACTGTCTCTAGAACTGGCTTGCAGTTGAGAAAAGTTCCTTGGGGGAGACAACTGAGGTTTCCAATGGGCACTATATAAAGGCTGGGTATAATAGAGGGCTTTTAAAGCCAGTAAGGACAAATTCAATTAATAAGGTGGTAGTATGAAATGGTCTAGCTGTACTCTGACTCTGAGATTCAGAGGAAAACTGATTTCAAATCCAGAGAAGCTTGGAGCTTCTCACATCACTATAGAAAGACACACTGTTCTCTAGCTTGGGCAACAGAGCAAAACCCTGTCTCTAAAAATAGAAGAAAAGAAAAGAAAGACAAATACAGGAGCCTCTTAGGAGAACCATCATCATCATGGATAGGAAAGGAACAGTCAAGTAACGTGAACATGCAGAGGCCATGAACATGCAGAGACCATGAATTTGAGATAAAGATCTGAAATTCCTCTCTTTAGCAGAGATACCAACAATTTCCCCCCCCAAAAAATGATCCCTTCTCCCCATAAAGTTTTGTTCTGGCCAGGCAGAGTGGCTTATGCCTGTAATATCAGCATTTTGGGAGGCTGATGGGGGTGGATCACAACGTCAGGAGATAAAGAACATCTCGGCCAACATGGTGAAACCCCATCTCTACTAAAAATACAAAAATTAGCCAGGCGTGGTGGTGCACACCTGTAGTCCCAGCTAGTCTGGAGGCTGAGGCAGGAGAATCGCTTGAACCTGGGAGGCGGTGGTTGCAGTTAGCCAAGTGCTACTGCATTCCAGCCTGGGAGACAAGAGCGAAACTCTATCTAAAAAAAAAAAAAAGTTTTATTTCATCTATTTGGGCATTTCCTAGGACACCCACCACACAACTTGGTGTGTGTGTGCTGAAGATGAATGATAACCCACAGTACAGACCTCTGCTTGTCTGACTTGGAAGAAGACAAAATGAACTGTGAAAGGAGCACAATAAATAACAGAGTATCATCCCAGAAGGGAAAATTGTAGAAAGAATGAGACTAGAGTTTGGTGAGAAGATGAAAACAGAATTGACTTTTGTGGCACATCCCCCAAAGCAAAGCAAGATTAGTCTGATTTGCTGTCTCTGATTCTTGACCCTCCTAAATGAAATGAGTGAAGTATGTGTGGGAGGATTTATACTTCTTAAATTGCTGTACAGTTTACATATTTTAAAATATGTATATATTACTTTTGTAATTAAGAAATGTAGTAATAAAATATATTGGTAAAGAAGGGGAAAAGAAGGAAGTACAGTAGGGGAAAATCCAATAGGTTCCAATCTATGAGGGATGAAGAAGGTTGGCAGACCATTAAAAATACATGAGGAAGAGGGTACTCCACTCCTCTGCTTTGGCAATCTTTTCCTTTTTTTTTTCAGAGAGAGGATCTCATTCTGTTGCCCAGGCTGAAATACAGTGGCAAGATCATGGCTCACCGCACCCTCGAACTCCTGGGCTCAAGTGATCCTCTTGCCTCAGCCTCCCAAGTAGCTGAGATTACAGGCTCGTGCCACTACGCCCAGCTAATTTAAAAAATTTCTGGCCGGGCACGGTGGCTCACACCTGTAATCCCAGCACTTTGGGAGGCTGAGGTGGGCGGATCACCTGAGATCAAGAGTTCAAGACCAGGCTGACCAATATGATGAAACCCCATCTTAAAAATAAAAATAAAATAAATAAAATAAAATTTCTTGTAGAGACAGCATCTCACTATGTTGCCCAGGCTGGTCTCAAACTCCTGGCCTCAAGTGATCCTCCTGCCTCAGCTTCCCAAAGTGCTGGGATTACAGGTGTAAACTACAGCACCTCTATCTTTTTCTCTACTCACCATCTTCCCCAGACACTTCGTAGTTTGACCCAACTTTCTAACAGCACAGAAATCTGGGCTTTTGAAGAAGTAGACAAAGAACAAGGGGTGATTCCAAGCTTTTGAAATGGAATTTCTCACTCTTCCCCAAATCTGTTCCTCAGTAATATCACCTCATAGTTTTGGACCTGTTAACTCCTTTACCTGCCTGGGAAATACCCAAGTCAAGTCTAAGTCCCACAAAAATTTCACCAACTATGATCAGAAGATCTCCTGATGGCTGAGGATCTCTAAGCCCCTTTCCCACATAAATAATAAAATAGATATGAAATAGATTCTCAGTTCTAGGAGACACGGTATTCACTATAGACCACATTATTAAGTATGAAAGAAGTGGACAAAACAGGCCCCCAATCCAACTTCTTAGCTCTTTCATAGGACATGAAACAGTAGGTTAAGAAACAGACTGCAGTATAGACCAGGTATGAAGCCAAGAGAAAGTGTAAGGGCTGAGTATGGAGCAGCCAACAGCCATAGAAAAAAAAATTACTTTCATCTTCATCCCTACCCTGGGAGTTCTAAAAAGCTTCAAATTACCACATCTAAACACTGAAAGGAACAAAAGCGTGGGTACTCCCAAGACCCAGAGCCTCCAGCACCACTTCAGCATACCCAGAAGCTCCCATAACTGATACCAGGCCCTGCTTCCATTTCCTCAACTAACTTAGTCTTCTAGATTCATAGAGCCTTCTTCATTTTCCCCAGTTCTCCCTCACTGAACCCAAATCTCTCTCAGCTCAACACCACAACTCCCTCAGTTCTTTCTACAATAGGCACTTTCCCTGAAAAGAACGCTTCTTATCCAACTAAGAACCCTTTTCAGGCCCTTCCAATGAGCCTCTCTGGAGGGACCCAGCCCCAGTCAGCCTTCGGGCTCAAGCGACAGGTCTGACCCCTCCTCAGCTCCCGGCAAATGGGCTTACCTCACCCGCTGCCCTGTCCCTTTCCCCAGCTCCTCCCTCTTCAGAGCTGCTTAATGAGGCCTGGCCCTGCCCTCACTCAAGCTCCGGGCCTGCAGCGCCCGGCCCCCGGCCCGGCCGCCGCCACAGCCCAGCCGCCTCCCCGACTCACCAACTTTGGGGTCCCAGCCCGCCCAGTCCCCTTCTCTGAGCCCCTATTAGGCCTGCCGGGGCCCGGCCCCCTTCTCCCTTCTCCAGTGGGCCACTCTAACCCCTCGCTTAGGCCGAGACCCGCCTCGGCTCTCAGGCCAGGCTGCTCTCATTTCCCGGGCGCTTCCGCCCCTGCCCTTTGGGTTCCATCAGCTCGGTACCTGGGGCTCCGTCTCCCCCGTCGGCCCCAAGCCTGTGTCGAACAGACAAACAGCTGCAGCTCAACCAAACCCTCCTGCCCCTCCTTCTCCTCCTCGCCCTGGGGCGGGGACTCCAGCCAATAGCTAGATTACCCGCCTACCATCGAGGGTGGGCTATATGTGCACTCATCCACCAATCCTCTGGAGAAAGGCGGGTCTCTTTGGGTGCTGTCAACAACAAGTACGAGCAAGGGACTCGACAGGCGGGGCCATAAACCAATAGCGAGAGAGAAACCTCGAAGATGGACGAGGTAAGGAGCCATTAAAAAGCAAGCTTCTGAAGACAGTGGGGCGGTACACTGCCGACAGGCGCATGTATCTACCAGTAAAACCTCGACACCCCATGACCCCGCCTTTTGACTCATAAACATCTAATCAGGTGAGTGATGGAGGCGGGTCAAAGCGAAACTTTAACCAGTACTGCGAAAATACAGGATTTGACTGGCAGCAAGGCGGGGTTGAAGGAAGCCTTAGGAAGGCCGCTGCTGACCTTCGCCCCTCCCCTGGACTTGGCGGGGCTGGCTCTAGTGCCCCGCCTTCTATGACAAATTTGCCGGCGTAAAAGGAAATACCTCTCCTAGGGATCCGGAGCCTGGGAATTTAAGTAACCCTGACATCAGCGCTTCCTCCTTTTAGTGAGGTTTCAGGGGACAGGAGTATTTGGGGTGGCCCGCGGGCGGTCTGAAATGGTTTTTGGTGGACTGAGACAATGGCAACTACAAGCAGTGGTAGCTTGGAGACACTTTTTCAGAATCGTATGTATATGTAAATAAAAGAATCTTTGGAAAACTTTGCTGTTTGTGATATGAAACAGAAAGGAGAAAAACGGCGAGCTTACTGGTAAATGCAGCGCCGAGAGGCAAATTCCCCGGGAGCCCTCTTGCCATTTTGTATGTGCGTGTGTGTGTATGTGGTGTATGTGTATGTGGTGTGTGTATGTGGTGTGTGTGTGGTATATGCATATGTGGTGTGTGTATGTGATGTGTGTATGGTATGTTGTATGTGTGGTGTGTGTGTGTGTGTGTGTGTGTGTGTGTGTGGTATGTTGGCTGGGGGAAAGGAGGTTTGTTGGTGTGTGGAGAAAGTGAAGTAGGAAGCATATAGGTTTCAGTTTCCCCAGCCATAAATAGGGACAATAATAACCGCTTTGTTTATCACCAGCACTAGCCAAAATGGGGCAGGGTGGGTAGACAAACACAGAGAGATTAGGAAAAGGGGTCTGGAATCAATGATCACGTATACATAGTCATATTCTGCCTCCCACCATTCTTTTAGTAAATAAGATGAGGAAAGAGATGAACTATAAAACTAGGTACATTTTTTTAATGAACTACAAACTAAATTACAAGTAACATTAATAGCAGGGGCACGCAAGGACAAGGGTGACAGAGACAAAATCATAAAAGAAAAAATGCTTTTTTTTTTTAGCACTGTCATTACAAAACCCCAAGGTGCACATGGCAACAAATCCACCCACTCTGACAAAAAAAAAAAAACAAAAAAAACAGCCAACCCTACTATTGGATAAAACCTGAAGTATAAATATAATTGTTCATCCTTCTTTTAAAGAAATATTTTTATCCAATGCCCTCACTCAATCACAGCCCTGTAAAAGTGTCAGCATTCTCAAAATGATGCCTAAACCCTAACTTCCACTCCTATGGGGTAGAAGGTGGACTTCAGAGGAAAATGGGATCAGGAATCCCTGGCAACTGAAGAACTAAGAATACTAAAAGGAAGAGAAAAATTCAAACATCTCTCACCTGCCTCATAAGGCCGCGGTGAAATAATAGATTGGAATGAAGCACAATATCTGTCCCAGGGCCTCCCAGACTCCTCATGCCGGTAGAAGAGACAAACATGGGGACTGGGGCCAATCATTGCTTCTGCAGCCCCATCAGGGCTGAGTCTTGAGTCTCCCAGCCTATTAGGTGAGGCAAAACACTAGGGTATAAACTGATTGGATCTATTTTATCAAAGGAATTCTTTAAAATAGACTCCTCTCTGTGGTTTTGTTTTACTTGGTTCTCAAAAGCTCCAACTTAGGCCCCTGCTATTGTTTGGCCTTTACAAAAATTGTGGCAGCAGGAGGCTGGGGATCCTGGTCATCCCAAACACTGGAAATAATAATTATGGGGTATTCAAAGATTGATACGGCAAATCTAATGTGTAGGGAGGCTTTTTTTTTAAAAAAAAATACCAACCCTCTTCAGCAATAATTAGGAGAAGAGAGAAAGGATAGTGGAGGCTAACTTAAGTGCATCTAATACTGAAACTTCCTTTCATTTTTACCAGTTCCTCTCTTTCACCCCTGTATTCCCAGAGTTGGCTGGCTAAGACTGGAAGGTGAGTGTTTAAGGCAAGATCAGAGGGCCCACCTGAGTCCAAATAGCCCAAGGCCAAGCCAGGTCAAGCCCACACTGGAGGAGAGGGTGAAATTAGGGCTGGGGGCTTTGAGAAGGCCATCAGAGTCGAAGATGGGGTACTGGCTTGGTCACATCCTGGAAGAAAGGGTGAGCCAGGGCTGCCTTTGCCGAAATCCGCTTGTTGGGGTCATAGTGCAGCATTTGCTAGAGGGAGAGGGGAGAGATGTATGTTGACTTCAATGATGTGATGGTGGACTAAATGGGCAGCAAGTGTTCCCAGAAATCAGGAAACCAGAACTCCTTCTACCCAAGGCAGAATTTTCACTTCCATCCTCCTGTATCTGAATCAGCGTGCCAACAGGAAAAGAAGGAATCAGGGAAACGAAATACTGAGGCCCAGAGTTAGGGTCTCATCCTCCCTTCATCCTGTAAAATCCCTTCCCTGGGAGAAATGAATGACGGGAAGCAGGTGCCCACTCTCACCGATAACAAGCTCCGTCCATCTTCATCCAGGGGAGGTACAACTTTACTAAAATCTTGTCGGGCCCACTTGGGGAAACTTGGTTTGTAATCAGGCATAGAAGTAACTCCTGGCCACACCACCTCATCTGGGGTCCCCAGAGTCCGAAAGATCCGGAAGAGCTGGTCAATCTCAGAATCTCCAGGGAATAGGGCCCGGCGAGTCACCTGAAAATGGGGAAAGAAGAAATACCAAGACCCACATTGACATCAGTCAAAACTGTTCTCTATACAAAGGAGTTCCCACAGGCAGTGAAAGGTCAGCAGGGCCCCATGATTCCCTCCCCAGGGCCTTTCATGGGGTCGGTCACACAGAACCTGAGACAAAGAAGTCCCTTCATCTGTCTCCTTGCCCCCTCCTTCCTTCCCCCAACCATGACTTTGCAGATCCCCAAGGCTGGGTGGGGCTGGGAGGGGGTGAATGTCTGGGGTGCCACTGACAAGTAGCAAAGGGATCCCAAGCCACTCACGGGGTGTGGGGTAGACACTGCGGTCATTCCCCAACCTTGTGATGCAGCCACTTCTAGATAGGAGCACAGCGGGCAGAGACTCTGTCTTCCATTTCTTCTGTGTTCCCCACAGCACCTAGCATGGTACTGGGTACACACTAGGTGCTTAACAAATATTTTTTGATGAATTGAGAGAGGAATATGGGCAATTGTAAGGTAATGCATTGGGGGATAAATGCACATTACATATGTATAGGCTAACGGTCTTTAAGCTCTTGGTTACAACCCAGATAAAGGACCACAAAACATATTGCTGATTTGAAGGCTCAGCCTACTGCACTGCACTGTTATATTAAAGGAGATGGGGGCTTCTACATAAGGCCAGGCCTCAAGGATCCTTCAGTCTGAAAAGCCAGAGGTTGAAGGGGGACATGATCTAAATCTTTTTTTTTTTTTTTAAAATAAAGATGGGGTTTCACCATGTTGGTCAGGCTGGTCTTGAACTCCCAACCTCAGATGATCCGCCTGCCTTGGCCTCCAAAGTGCTTGGATTACAGGCACGAGCCACCATGCCCGGCCAATCTTTTTTTTTTTTTGAGATGGAGTCTCGCTCTGTCACCTGGGCTGGAGTGCAGTGGCGCTATTTCATCTCACTGCAACTTCCGTCTCCCAGGTTCAAGCAATTCTCCTGCCTCAGCCTCCCAAATAGCTGGGATTACAGGTGTTTGTGCCACCATACCCGGCTAATTTTTGTATTTTTTGTAGAGATGAGGTTTCAGCATGTTAGCCAGGTTTGTCTTGAACTCCTGTCCTCAGGTGACCCGCCCACCTCAGCCTCCCAAAGTGCTGGAATTACAGGCATGAGCCACTGCGCCCTGTCTAAATCTGCAGTTTAAATGAAGGGTGTGAACAAAGGGACCACAGCTGGCTTCACTACATTCCTGGCACCATGCAACAAGGTCTACAGGCCTTGAAGTCAAGCCCTGAAATAAAAGAGGCACTAAATGGAATCATTCTCCCAAATATATGCAGACTGTGGTTAAAACAGCTGCAGAAATGTTTTACCTCATTTCAGGGATAGAGATGTATACTAGGTACTAAGGCTGTTGTTGGATATCCTAACATTGTGGTTGATGTTGGGCCAACAGTTGCATCCTTTCCCCACCATTCCCCTTGATGCTACTTTAGAAAGAGAACCCTGTGATAGAAGCATCATAGGTCTGGGCAGAGAAACAGTTTTGTTGTTCTTCGATGTGGGGAGAAGGGGGCTGGGTGGAACTTGGGCAAGCCTCCATACCATCTCAGCAAAGATGCAGCCCAGGCTCCAGATGTCCACAGCTGTGGAGTAGTATTTGCAGCCCAGGAGGATTTCAGGAGCTCGGTACCACAGGGTGACCACCTGAGAGACAAGAATAGGGAGGGTGGTGTGGCTTATAGGGTACAGAGAGTCCCTCAGCACTACTCTGCTAACTCTTGGTCTCTTAACAAGCAGTTTCCTTCCCTCCATCTTTGCCCTCCCACTGATTTCCAGTTCATAGTTCTGGAGACCATATTTTCTGACCCCAATTTGAGATCTTCCTGGAAAAACTTGAGACAAACAGTCATCATAATTTTATTTGATTTTTTATTTCTTTAGAGATGGGGTCTTGCTATGTTGCCCATGATAGTCTTGAACTCCTGGGCTCAAGTGATTATCCCACCTCAGCCTCCCAAAGTGTTGGTATT